TCAACATAAGAATTGGGATCCATTTATATGAAATAGAATTGAAATGTATAAAAATGAAATAGAATTATAGTAGTATAGAGATGAAATGTAAATATGTAATGGATGAATTATAAAATTGAGATAAAGTCAGAAAAATATGAAAAATGAGAATGTAATAGATGAATTAAATTGAATTGAGATTTGATAGGGAATAATTAGATTGTAGAGAATTGGTGTAAAAATGGATTAAAATGCTGAGTGTGTGTGTGTGTACATATATATCTACCGTTGGGGACCTTTAAAAGTTTTGTGATCATTACAAAACTGTCACAAAACTTTTAAAAGTGACCAAATGGTCACTTTTTCAAAAATAGACTGTTGGTCACTATTTAGCGAGTCCACAAATCGCTCATCGAGCTGAGCTCGTTCCAAATAGTCACTCGATTCGTGCTCAAGCTCAAACGGGTCCCAACGAGCCGAGCGAATAAGCTAGCTAGTTACTTGGCTCATTTGTCACCCCTTAGAAGGAGGCTTTTGTACATATATGGGCACATGGATGGCCGATATATTTTCTTGATTTTCAATTTAATTAAAAAAAGGTGCCTATATGTGGGGTTGGGCATGGGTTGGATTGGGTTATTTTTTATCCCACCCCAACCCAATTATTAGTTTACACCCAACTCTACCCAAATCGATGGATTGGTTGGGTTAGGTTAGGATGATCAATTTGGGCTTGGACCAATTCAAGTTGGATCAGATTTCTTTTGTTGAATTTGAACAACCTTTAAAGTTTGAAACCACGTGAAAAGTTCTGTTATTTTTAATATACATAAGGAATTCTTTGGAAAATTAATTTATAAATAAGTTTGAAACTATGGAATACTTTCTTTTTATAATTTTTTGAGATTTATTCATTTCATTATCCTGTAATTAATTTTTAGTTTATCATCAAATTATTTGCATTTGTATATAGTATTCATACCAATCAGTCTATGTATAAAAATGGGATGTTTGTACATTCTAAATCATTCTCTTGTCTCTATTATTGTTTCTATTCAAGTTTATCCATTTTAAGTATTAAATTTTTAATTCATCGAATTGGGTTGGATTGAATTAGATTTTAATTCATAGACCAAGACCCAACCTGACCTGACCTCAAATTTAATTTTTCAACACAATCCAACCCAATTGAACTTAAAAACATCCAAACCAATCGATTTGGGTTGGGTTAGTCGGTTTGAGCGATTTTGGTAGATTTTTGTTCCGCCCTACCTACACGTCAATATAATTATGACTTTAAAAAATATAATAAAAGACTTGAAGCGTGTCATAAAAGACCTGAAGATTTGAAGCACGACTTTCTTGAAATCAAAGTATTTTGTAATTTAAGAAAGTTGAAAGTTCGTGATTCAAATCCGGATCAAGACTTGATTATCAAGTTTGAATAAATTCTTAATCTAAGTTTCTTGTTTGTAATTACATGTGAACATATAGTAACGCTCTTATATTCTTAAATTAAAGAAAAAATTTTGATATTCCAGGTAATTCTTATTTAGCATTCTAACATTAACAACTTTCAATTGCTAGAACACAAACAATAGAGATAATTGCTTTTGTGCCTGGTCACTAGGAACCTCCAATAACCACCGTAACCCAGGAAGTTTTAACGGGGTCATAGCTCCACTTCTTAAATTTCAGAGAAAATAATGCTATGCAATAATGCAACATCTCATCTTATTTAAGTACTAGATAATAACAATGATTAGACAAACTAAAGGGTAGTTGAATTTCTTTAATTACTTTGATTTTACACAAATGTGAAATTTAACATTGAGACAGATTCAACATTAGTATTAACAACATACAAATTGCTATAGCACAACCAATCGAGATAACTGTTTCTACGGTCACTAGGATCCTCCAATCAGCACGAGGATCACTCGAAGTTTTAATGAGTCATAGTTAAACTTCATGAACTTCAGATAAGGTGAGTGCTAACTCAGAAATTGAAGGATTTAATGCTTCTCTTGGCTGTAAAAAGAAGTTGGGTTTAGGCGGGATTTGCAAAGATTCTATATTCCCTTCCAACATTTCTATAACCCTACTCATTGAAGGTCTAGCTGTAGGATCAGTATGTATGCACCACAATCCAACTATTAACATTTTCCTTATCCTCAAATGTTCATTTGCATTCACAATGATGTTCAGATCAAGTTTGACACTCTGTTCAAGTTTCTTATATATCCAATCAGGAAAGTAATTTTCACTTGAATGATCGATTCCGACTTCAATATTTTTCGTCTCTCCAGCCATTTCCAAAATCATCATACCATAGCTATAGACATCTGACTTGTGAGAAACATTTCCAAAGTTTCTACAAACTATTTCTGGAGCTATATACCCTATTGTCCCTCTGGCCCCTGGCATTGGCACTATACTAGACCTGTTAGGACAAAGTCTCGCCAGGCCAAAATCTGACATTTTAGGATTGAAGTCTTTATCTAGTAGAATGTTATGAGGCTTTATGTCAAAGTGTAAAATCCGTGTATTACATCCTTGGTGCAAGTATTCTATTCCATGAGCAATGCCAAGTGCAATTTGAAACAATTGTTCCCATCCTAACTGACTTTCTACTTTGGAGAATATGAACTTCTCAAGAGATCCATTGGGCATGAACTCGTAAATGAGAGCTCTTGTGGAACCCTCAAAGCAAAATCCCAAGAGAGTGACAATGTTAACGTGGGAAGTTCTACTGATACTTGCAACCTCATTGATAATTTTTTCTCCATAGCCTTTTGATTCTTTAAAAATCTTTACTGCTACGAGACGGCCATCAGATAACTTCCCTTTATATACACTAGCAAAGCCCCCTTCCCCTAAGTTGTCACTGAATGAGTTAGTCATTTTCATAAGATCAGAGTAGTTGTATCTTCTTGTTGCAAGATTCTCATTGTTCTTTAGGAAGAGTTCAATGTCCTTATCATTTTGCATCTTTCCCTTCAAATTCCACATGTGCTTCCTCTCGTAGAATGCGAACAAGATTATGTAGAAGAGGACTACTGCTACAGGTGAAATAGCTGTGATGAAAAATGATATCAGTATTGTTTATAAAGAAAAAAAATGATATGAAAATTTGGAAAAATTACCTGCAATTAAAATCAATATCAATATACTTATTCCTGCAGCTGAAGTCAAAACACGTGTTAGATTAAGAGAACATTATAAAAATAAGATGGGAACTCCTTTTTCTTAGTATGATCTCTTTTCCAGCATGTAAATAATCACAGGGTATGACTCATGAACATGTGATTTCATATAATAGTGGAATAAATGTATCTGGTGTATAAGATTTTCTATCTAATTGCCTGTTAAAGAGAATCACTACTGTGTAATTCAACAGACTTTGTAGTCTAGAAATGATTTAAGACTCTGGAGATCACTTAACCACTATAGATTACATAGCTAAAAGACAAAACTATAAAAAAAATGACATAAATAAAATTAGCCTAGTTTCTTTTGGGTTCGACTACATATTACGATGCTAAAAGACAAACTGGATTCGACATAGATACCTGGGGTGGACTAGTTTCTTTGAGCCAAACACTTGTGGGTGGACTTATTTTACATCATAAAATTGGCTCAAAGAAACTAGTTCATCCCAGAAGTCCATGTCCAATCTAGCTCAAAATTTTAAATCAATCATGCTATACAAACAAATTGAATGATAGGATTAAAAAGCAGGTGGACACGAGGCACAGTATCATTGGACAATTCGGAAAAAAGTTACCCACACAGGTGCGCTGACAACTCTGCACCTGTCAAAGCACCTATTTGCAATCCCTATTTGAATAGCATTATTGATTTTATATAGTGCTAACTATGTCCCCTAGTAGGTCCCACAATCACATATTTGGATTCAAACTAATTAGATGCATCATTTTGATTGTTGCAATTCAAGTCGAGAATAATAAATATTTAAGGTGTTTGAAAATTACAATTTCAAAATTAAGATATACGTTATGTAATTTCAAAAATCATCTCACAGTTAAAATTTATTAATTAAATAAATAAGTAAAAATATTTTATTAATTAAATATATTAATGTGGTAATATTATACAATTTATGATCACGATTACGTACTAGTCGCAATCACATAATGTTACAATCACAAATTTCATCATTCATAACTTATTTTTAGGTCACAAATCACAAATTTCATAGGTCACAACTAAGCCCAGGTGCAATTTGGTTTCATAGATCCCAACTAAGCCTGAGCACGGCTTGGCTTGAGTTAGTTTCGACTCTAACCCGAGACCAAAACATAATTAGTCGATTTGGTTTGGTTCTATTCTATTAGTCAATTTAGACTATTGTCCAAATTGAATTTAAAAAAAAAAAAAAGTCCGAGCTTTGGGTCTAATAAGATTAAAAGAATTAAAATAACTAAATAACTTTATTTACAAGTATTATTGACTAACAAATAAAATTAGGTTAATACAGACAAATCATCATAAAATTTTATTGTTTTGTATGTATTATGTAACCCAACTGCTTGAATAGGAAAAGGAGGATAAATATAACATAATGAGCTTGCGAAAAGAAATTTATAATGCTATTACTTATCGACAACACCATAAATTGGAGGGAATTGAGATATATTTATGAGATTGGGGATTTATCTTTTGCTTTTTATTTTTCTTTAAAAAAAGGTAACATGTAAGTGGATTGGACTGGTTCAATTAACCAGCGATTTGAAACTTCAAACCATGGCTGAACCAATCTACAATGATTTTGTTTAAAAGAAAATAAAACTAAACTAATTACCTATGTCAAATCGGCCCAAGTCAGTTCGATCGATTGATTTGGTTGATTTTTTCAATTTTTTTGCCCAAATCTAATCCAACTTGTTCCACAATCACAAATTATCAAATTAATTGGTCATAATAACCTAAATGGTTGGTCACAAAAGCTCTTCATTCCATCTATCCCCACCACCACAAACAATAACAATAACAGCCACCACCATTTGAAAACTTTAACACAATAATAAATTTCAAACACACCGTTGTCTCCGCAAACCATACATTACACTTCCAAAGCAGCTTCCAACTCTCATTTCTCTGCCCACCAAATTAGATCCATCGCCACTCATCAACCACCATATTCACCACCATCTTGTTAAAATTCAAATTACCAAAGCATAGCTCCCATCTCAGATCTAAACCACCCCAAAATACCCTAAAATCATACACAGTAGTAAGCATCACTGATGCACTACTACACACGAAGCAACATCATCGTGAGCGCTATGCACCTACGTCATCGCAACAGCAGCTCCCACAACACATGTTCGATGGTTGGTCACATCGCCAGTGACAAAGCAATGTGAACCCACATAGCAATAGTAGCTACAAAACCCACAAGAGATTGAATCACATCCAAGAAAGCTAAGAATCAAGGTTTAGATTTGGCCCAAAAATATTAAACTAAGTAACCAATATAATCACCAACAATATGTTTATAATGTTTACACAAATCTATTGAAAAATACTTACATATCATTCTAGTGACCTTGTCTTTATATAGTATATAATGAGCTAAAGAAGAAATACACAATTAGTTCAATTAGCTGTAAATAGCATATTTGATTGACGAAGTGATTCTTGCTGAATCCCCTAATCATGCGGTTCCCTTATACGACCCCTCAAAATTAATGTGCCATCAGCGACATTGATTTTTCTTTGCAAGAGATTGAAGTGAGATCGGTTGAGAGACTTGGTCAGTAAATCTGTAAGCTGATCATCTGTGTGTAGTCTAAACATTTGAAGGTATTTTAAGTTGGGGAAT